CATTTGACAGACGAGGAGACGGAGGGTCAGACAGGTGCCAGGCCGGCCCAGGTCTCCCTGAGGGGGAGGCAGCTCTTTGGCAGCTCTGGTTCTGCCGCGCTCACGGCTCCTTTTCCCCAGGGAGCCAACGCCAGGATGCCCGCCCGCCTGCACCGTCTCCCTTCAGGGGGAGGAGGCAGTTCTTGGGCCTCCCTTTAGGTGGGCGAAAATATCTGTTTACTCCACAGCGGAGCAATTTCCCCGCGAAGCCTCTAACTAGCTGATCGCCCGTCCTGCCCCTTGGCAGGGGAGCCGCCCACCGGGACACAGGAGCCGCTCTGCAGGGCCATGTTTAGTAGAGCTGTCACTGTACACAGGGACGGGACCAGCAGGTCACAGGGGAGCCTGGCTGTCCCAGGAGGCAGCAGGACTTGTGGACCCCAGGCAAGGCCCCCGCGGGGCTCATCCTGACTGGGTCAGCAGGGGTGGACATGGCTGTGTCTACCCAGTCCAGGGCAGGTCAGCAGGGAGCCTCGGGGCCATGCAGGGGTCTGGGGGAGGAGGCTGGTGTGGCCCAGGTCTCAGGCAGGGGCTTGGTCCAGCCCCTTCACCTGGCACTCAGCACTGCACTGGGGGTCCCCTGGGGGCTTCAAGCATGGGGATGGACAGGGCTGTGGGCCACTGGGACACAGGGAGGAGGGTTGGAGGCCGCCTCTCAAGCTCTGCCACGGCCAATGTTGACCACCGTGGGGCCGGCGGGGCTCTGGGCCCCACGGGTGGGGCAGTGCGGGGTGGGCTCTTCCAGGGGGGAGACGATCTCAGGCAGCGGCTGCAGGTCCCATTCCCCCTGCAAGGAAGGCACAGAGCAGGCTGAGGCCCAGGCGGGCAGGTGCCTAGCAGCCTCCTGTCTGACCCGCACACTCATCTCCATCCAGACTGGACTCCCCTTCCTCCAAGCTGCCCTTGGGGTGCCCACCTGGGTTGAATGCTTCCCCCACGCCCCATTGGGAGCCTAGGAGCCCCCAGACCCCCACGTCATCCCCACCCTAATGCAGCGCTCCAGCCCCATGCGGGCTCTGAGGCCCAGGCCTTGTTCGGAAGGAGGAGTGGCCGCGTCAGAGCGTTTTCTCCCGCCCTGTCAGCCAGCCCTGCCTGGGGTGCTGGATTATGTGATCTAGAAGTTAATCCAGCTCCCCAGCACCCCAGGAGAGGCCGGCTTCCCAGATGTCCTGGCGCCCAGCTCAGCATGGCCCTGGCCTCCCGGCCAGCAGCTTGGGCACAGGCTGCTCGGCTGGGCATGAATTAGGTGCCGTTGGATCCCAGTGGGCTGAGGAACCTGCTTGGGCTGCAGACTGGGGTGTCTGCTGCCCCCGCCCCCAGCGCTGTATTTTTAGGCTCGTGGGAGGCTGCTGGTGCCCACTCACACCCCACATCAGCTGTCTCCCAGGGGCACCCTGCTCCCTGCTGTCCGTCCGTCCTTCTGGCCTGTCCCCCTGGTGGTTTTCTCCGTCCTTCCTGCGAGTGCTTCAAGTCAGCTGTTTGGGGTGCGGGCCCCTCGCCCGCTGGGGCCCTCCTCGGGCCTGGGGAGACCTGGGCGCACGGTGTGGGCAGTGGCGGGTGCTGGCGGGCCTTGGAGGTGGAGAGGCCGGGGCTACCTGGAAGCGGACGGCTGAGGACCTGTTGCAGTGCATGGAGATGGGCGCGAAGGCGTAGAGCGCTCTCAGCACGTCGCGGCTGAAGGAGTTCCAGGGCACCGAGGCAAACTGCTGCGGGACGGTGGCCTGGGGGCAGGTGCAGACGTCCTCGCTGTTGAACCTGGCGGGGACAGTGCGGGAGATGACAGGGAACCCGCAGGACGCAGGTGAGGCCCACTGGTGGCCCCATGCCACCTGCTCCCCAGCCCAGTGTCCTGGCCCCTCCACTCTGGCAGTGGGCTTGCCCCTGGCCTGCACCAGCTGGTCGCAGCCAGGGGACTGACTAGTGATTCTGTCACTGTTACTGGCACCTCCTGAGTGCCAGCCTGCTCCAAGAACCAGCCTGGGTCCCGCAACGGTCCCTGGGGCAGAGTCAGGACACTTGCCTGTTCACCAGGTGGAAGTACTTCTGCAGGAAGCCAGGGTCCCCAGGACGGTCCCCAGCGTTCCTATAACGGTGCCTGGGGTCCCCAGGATGGTCCCCAGGGTCCCCGCAGCAGCCCCGGGGCATGCCAGCACTCGCCTGTTCACCAGGTGGAAGTACTTCTGCAGGAAGCCGGGGTCCACGGCGCTCTTGCACAGCTCCAGCTGGGTCTGGGGGTAGTAGTGCACATAGTTGACGCACATCTCCTCCAAGATCCCAAAGCCGCCCTGCAAGGCCAAGGAGACCCATCAGCCTGGCTGTCACCCTGCCCGTGGTCCCCAGCAGTTTCCCATGCACACTTGTGCCCGCATCTGCGCCTGCTGGCAGCACAGTGTCGGGCAGCACCCCCCCAGCCCCATGGAGCAGGAGACAAAGTCCTGCCCCACAGGCTCCCTTCCTTGGCAGGAGCAGGCGACCAACAAGCCCAACAAGCATCAGTAAATCCACACTAGTGGTGACAGTGCCCTGATGAGGGGAACAAGGCCAGGGACAGAGCTGCTGTTATGCCCGTCCATGGCTGTAGGTAGCGGATCTCGGGCTGTTATGCCCGTCCATGGCTGTAGGTAGCGGATCTCGGGGAGGACGAGGGGCAGCCCTGGGTTGGCTTCAAAGTCCATGGTAGCAGGATGGTGGCCAGGAGCTGTCCCTGGGGCCTCTAGCAAGGGCAGCAAGTAAGGAGCACCCTTCACACCGCCAACAGCCACTGGCCATCGGTCACTCCCACAGCTTGACTCTGACAGTGGCCAGAAGCCTCTCCTGGCCTCCAGCTGCCCAGCCCTCACCTGCACAGCTCTGCCTCTGGACGCTCACTGTCCAGTTCACAAGGAGCTCCTGCCTAGAGGCACAAGGTGTGAGGCTGCCTGGCACAGGACAGCCTGCCCCGTTAGGGCCGGGCCTCGTGAAGCCCAGCAGGTGGGACGTGTTGGAGCCACGCCAGCTGCTGATGAGAGGTACGGAGCCCTGCCCCAGAGCAGGCGGCTACCTCCAAGCCTCGGTGGATGCCTGCAAAGCTCTCTGGCCTCCCAGCTGTGCCCTGAACCCAGAGAAGTTGTCCCCAGATCCAGAGGGAGCAGGGAGGGTGTGGCAGGAGCAGCACAGCCTCAGGGCCCAGGTTAGATCCAGCAGACCTCAGCCCGTGACCCTGGGCCAGCGCCTTCCTGCTCTGGGCCTCTATGGCTCCCAGGACGGAGCAGAGACTCCTGCTAAGTAAGGGTGGAGAGGACAAGGCACCCACTGACGGACACATCACGGTGACGTGCCACCTCGTGGGAGCAGAGCATGGGCAATCTGTGCTCTGTTGGATCCCAGTGCCCTGCAACATGGACAGAACTGGAAACTGCCCAGAGCAGGAGGCCAGGCCCAGAGGCCACGCAGTCCTAGGCCAGTTATGAGAACTGCCCAGATTGGCCACTCCAGAGGCAGAAGGCAAGCAGAGTAGCTGGGCTGGGCAGGGCCTGCAGGGTGACAGCTCAGGGTGAGTTTCTTCTGGGGTGGCGGGGGCCTCTAACATTGGCTGTGGGCATGGCTGGGGGTGTCGGGGGCTGTACCAAGGTCACTGGATCAGGGACCTACGTGAGCGAGTGGTGTGGCGGTGGATTACAGCTCCATGATGCCATCAAAGACAGCCGTGACCTAGTCACAGAGATGGAATGACCGTGCGATGCTGCATCAGGGTCAGGGGCAGAGTCGAGGGCTCAGGTCAGGGTGGGATGCCACCCAGGTCTGGTCCCCTGAACCTCGGGACTCACGGATGAGTCCTGCCTGCTGCCATGTCAAGCCAGCCGGCTGGACCCACTGCCCCGCCTGCCCAGCAGAGGCCATGTTCTCGCCTCCGTCTCACCTGGCTTGAGGCGGTCCTTCCCATCAGCTGCTCCCCCTCCTCGGGCTGCCCACAGCCCCGCCAGAATGAGTCCTTCACATCCCTGCAGTCTCCAGTCACCTGTGCCCTCTGACGTCCGTCCATGCTTCTACCCTCCCAGGCCAACGCCCTCCACCCGTCTCTGTCCCCTGGGCCTTCCTGCACACGGCCTGCCCCCGGAGGCTGCCACCACCCTCTCCACCTTGCCACCTCCACCTTCTCTGGTCTCCGTTTGGTGCTGCTTTGGTGGCGAGGCTTCCGTGGCCCTAGCTCCCGGGCCACTCTCTGCTTTTCTGTTTCTACCATGATGCTGCTTGTCACTTAGGGCCAGTGGTTTGGTGCCCCGGTGGACTCGGCCCCACAGGGGCTCCTGGCTCCTCCCACACCCAGCCCAGTGCGGGGCACACAGGTGCCAACACACGGCCTCTGTGGGAGCTCTGAGTCGGCAGTGGAGCAGCCAGCGGAGCTTGTGCCGGGCAGAGCTGGCGCCACCACCACATTCCCCACTCAAAGGGGCTGGCGCGGCCAAGGTCTGCCCAGCTAACACACTGCCTGGGCTGCCAACGCCACGGCCTGGGACCAGACTGAGAATGGCGGTTGATGGAAGGGGAGAGGGAGGGACCCGCTCCCTCTGGAGGAGGTGGGACTCGGCCAGGGGCAGTGTCAGGAAGCAGCTGGGGGTGGGGGACTTACCACGGTGGCCAGCTTCCTGTCCTCTGTGTTGTATGTGCAAGAAGTGATGAGCACATCTCCCTGGAACAAGCCAGTGATGGGTCAGCACTGCCAACCAGGGCAGGTGCTGGGCCCACATGTGGCCTACCCCTGTGTGAGTCAGTGTGCCACTTGCCCACCACAAGGAAGCCCTGCACACGGGAGCACAATCTGAGTGTCCTTGTGGATGCCAGCCCTCGGGGGTGTGATTAGGGCCTGGCTGTGGCTAGGGCCTGGCCCAGGGGCATGCAGGTTGGCTGGTCACCTCACAGCCCGAGTCCCCACCTGGCCCAGGTTTGCCTTGGGTGCTACCAGCCGTCCTACCTCAATACCCTCACCTCTGCCTGAAAGCTGTGGACTTGGGGTTCTGCTGACCAGGCTGGAGGACACCCACCCCCTGTGCCCTAAGTGTTCCTTTCTGATGCCCTCTCTGCAGCACCCTGTGTCCCACCTGAGGTGGCCCAGGTCCCATGCTACCCATGGCGCTCTGCCCTGCCCTGTGGACTTCCCTTCCCCATCGCCGTCGGTCTCCCTCCTCCAGGGAAGACACCCCCCACCCCGGCCAGCCTGCCCGGGCACTCACCTGGTGGACAGACACGACCTTCTTCAACATGCGGATCTCCTGGTGTGGGGAAGAAGGGGGCATCAGAGGGCTGTGGCCCTCCTCCCGTCACCTCCCCCTGGGGGTTGGCTCTGATCTGGCCTCCCCGGGGCTGCCAGGCCTGGCTAAGTGTGGGCTCTGGTCAGCGGGTGAGGCTGGGGCCAGAAGGCAGCTGCCCAGGACGTGTCCCTCCCTGGGCCAGGCCCACGGCCGAGGCCCTCCCCAGACCAACACCAAGGGGCGGGGAAGATGCCCCAGCCTGGCGGCCCTCAGCAGTCACAGGAGGAGGCGTGTCCCTACCTGGAAGTGAGGGCTGTAGTGATTGTCCCTGTTCACAATCTCTGTCTCCCGGCCGTCCCGGGCCAACACGGTGACCACCTTCCTCCCGGTCAGGTGCGTGTGGAGTTGAGAGGCGAAGATGTGGACCCCCGAGGAAGGTAGAGCCTGCGGGCGGGAGGAGCGGTCAGGCGTGGCCGAGGCCCGACGGGGCAGGACGCGCTCTTGGCTTCCGTCTGGCTCTTCCTCTGGTCGGGTTGGTCTCCTGTCTTGCTACCACTGGCCACTGCCCCTGCCCTTCGATCAGTGAGACCTTGTGTGCTTGCAATGCTGTGAGCACTGGGGACCCCCAGGGCCCATCAGGGACCCTTTGGCCTCCTGACCCTGTCCACTGGCTGGAGGTGCCGGTCTGTGCAGGTGCAGGAAGGAGCGTGCTTCCTGGGGATGGCGTCCCAACAGGACTTTTCTGCCTGACTTCAGGTGTCTAGACCACAGGCTCCGACAGCCGGGCGTGTGGCCCCGGAAGGACAAGACACTCCGAGAGCGTCACCTTCAGGAAGCCATCCACATAGACGTGATTTTCAAAAAGAGCTGGGTCACTTCCACCTGGACACTCTAGTAGAAGGCCGGTCTGCATTCCTGAGGCTGGATGGGTGGTCACCAGGTCAGAGGGGCCCAAGGGACCTCAGCCCCCCACAGTAGGCAGGGCTGCGGGTCACTTTTGCCCACTGAACTCTGAGGAGGTGAGGCCAGCCTGAGGCCAAAGAGCCTTCTACAGACAGGGAAAGGAATGTCCCCAACGGGGACCTTGGGGGTGGAAGACAGTATGCGAGACAGGGCAGGAAATCATTGTGACCCCCATTTCGAAGCTGCCGCCTCCCAGAGGCACAACCCTGGACTCACCCAGACCTGCCTCCCACCTCACCTTGGGGCTGCTGGGGGCTCAGTCTCCCCCATTGTGAAATGGGCACCAGGACACTTACCTGCCAGTCACTGGGAAGCAGAGTCCAGTGTTTACAACAGACTGTGAAGTGGCACCCCGTTATCCAAAAGCCCCCAGAAACAGCGGTGGCAAGAGGCCAGGCCCGTGGGAGAAGCTGGGCCAAGCCTGGGAGCCCAGACTCCAGGAAAGAAGAACAGTGGGCACAGGCCCAAGGAGGCCCAGCCCTGGGAGGCCCGGAGGGACGATGAGCGGCACTGCCGTGTCCGCCTCCCAGGTGGCCGGAAGACATTCAAGAGATGGACAACATGTGGTTTGGGCGTCTCCTTCCACGTGGGCCAAAGCCTGGGGCGGGGCTTTCTGCGGCCCTTTGGAGATGCGTTCTGAGGGCAGGTGGAGTCTCAACCTCCGACAGGAAATGTCCCTGCAGCTTCTCTGTGGTGAGACGCAGGCCCAGCCCAGCCCAGGCCCAGGAAGGCAGGCGAGGGAGCCTGGGCCAGGCCTCGGGGCTGCTGCACTCACTGCAGCCTGTGCCCTGTGCCCACAGAGCCCGGGGCGTGCTGGGTGCCCCGCCGCCTCCCAGCCCCACTCTGGTCAGGTTCCTAGAGAAGCCTCCCACTGGGGACCGGGGTGTCACCCGAGGCTGAAGGCGAGTCCCAGGACTCAACCACCCAGCAATCTATAAACTACTGGCAACTTCTCAACGCCGTGTTATGTTTTTTCCTGTCTTTTTTTTGGTGCAGGGGATTGAACCACCCAGGGGAGCTGAACCACCCAGCCACAACCCAGCCCTTTTTATTCTGTATTTTGAGACAGGCTCTTGCCAAGTTGCTTAGAGACTTGCTAAATTGCTGAGGCTGGCTTTGAACTTGTGATCCTCCTGCCACAGCCTCCTGAGCCACTGGAATCAATGTCTTTTAAATGTAAAACAAGCCTGTACATTCCCGTGACCTCTGAGGGTGTGAGCCAACATGTAAGAGAAAGCCCCGGGGAGGGGGGGCATGAGGAGCCGTGAGGGCATCTGGGGGGGGGTGCAGAGAGCTCGTCCTTGGGGACATCACCTGTGTTCCTGGTGGTGAGTGTGGGGGGGCCTCCTCATGGAAGGAAAGCGCACTTTAAAGTGCAGGTCATGGAAGCTGGGCATGTGGGCACCTGGGCATGCAGGCACCTGGGCACATGGGCACCTGGGCATGTGGGCACCTGGGCATGCGGGCACCTGGGCACATGGGCACCTGGGTGCTTGGGCAGAGCCCCATCAGTGCTGGGGAGGCAGATGCAGATGCACCAACACCCTGGGGATCTGGGAACCTCGGTACCCGGCCGCCCACCCTGGCCACCCTGCTGGCCCCACTCACCAGCTGGGTGCACTTGTCCGTGCAGTAGCCGGTCAGGACGAAGGCCGTCTCCTTCGGGGGGATGGCCATCACGGGTGTGTACACTAGGCCCAGCTCCATGATCCCTGCGTCAAAGCGCCGCAGCGTGGCTGTGTAGTAGAGCCGGATGCCCGAGGAGTCGCGCCGGCCTAGGAGAAGGGGGACGCGGTTGGCAGAGGCCCCTCAGCAGCCCTGGGCACAGATCGCCCTTAGGACCCCAGCTGCCCTTAGGAGAGCCACACCTCACGCCTGCTGACCCTGCCCGACCTGCCAAGAGCCCAGCCTTTGTTCCCACTCCTGTGGACCCAGGGTCCCAGTGCACATGTGGGACACCGTGTGCAAACAGCTGTCCTTTCTACCAAAGCTGGTGGACCACGTCACTGTGCTCCGGGGTGACGGCTGGCCGAGGAGTCCTGAGCAGGAGCCTGGGCCGGGGCGGGACTGCCGTGAGTCCACGTGTGCCTCCAGCCTCCCTCGGTCCACAGGGCTCACTGTCAGAACCTCTTCCCAAGGAGACCTTGTGTCTCCTGATTGCTTTGCCTGCACCTGGGGGTCCTCTGAGGTTTGGCGAGTCCCTGGACTCCCTGGGAAGGGGCTGGTGGGCAGGGGTCTGGGATGCTAGATTCACAGGGCAGCCACATAGCCACACGTGCTGCAGCAGCCCTCACCCCCTCCCAGGGTGCCACACTGGGCAAGTCGGTCAGTGAAGGGCCTTGACCTGGGGCTGCACGGGTGGGTGGCCAGAACACTCCCCTGGACACTGGTAGGAACAGAGTGGGCAGGAGAGGCCCCAGGGCTTGGTGCCCCTTGGTGTGTGGGAAAGGGGTGTGGACGGGGTGCTCCGTGTCACAGGACATGTCTCTCAATGAGCATGCAGCCACATAGGAAGTTCCAGTCATGGGAGAGGCCAGTGGACAGCCTCAGCCCCCAGGGGCATCCCTGGGCAGGCAGTGGCCTTGCCTCTCAGCCTCCTGCTGGTCCCTGTGTGGATGCACTTCTGGGTGGGAGAAAGCAGGACAGAGGGGTGCAGGGCCACTGTCTCCCCAGGCCAGGCACTGTCCTCACTGTCCTGTCACTGGTCAGAGTCACTGTCCCCACGTGCACGTGAGGAGACAGGATGGATCCTGAGTGGGAGGCCCTGGCGGGGCTGGGACCAGAGCCCCGGCTGGCTGCAGGGCAGGTGTCGGGGACCAGTCCCTGCTCCCAGCTCCCTGGGGACGCCAGGGCCACCCTCCAGTCTCTTCCTCCCTCCTGCCTGCCCCCAGCCAGACTCAAACCACTCCTGCGTCTGTGCCCGAGTCCATCAGAGGATAATAACACAAAGGGGGAGGGGGTGGGTGAAAATTCAGATGGGGATTAAATAATGAGATAATTTGGAGATTTTGATATTTATAGAAAAAGCAGCCCATCTCCAGATTTACAGGGTGACAGGAACATCCTTATGTTGGCAAAGGATCCATAAATACCACCAGATAATCAGGAGGAGACAGACTTCCCTGATGCTTAAGGAGTTTTTGAAAATCCATTTTCTTTCAGGTTTTAAATGAGCGATAAATCCCGTATCATGCTAAGGCCTGAGCCGTGTGTCTGCTCTGTGCACGCCGAAGATAGCGCAGTGGGGGCCGAGAGCCCTGCATGTGCAGCTGGGAAGAGAGCCTCGGGCGGCATCAGCTTAACGCAGCCCCCGTCACCGGCAGCTGGGAGCACTGGGTGCACGGACGTCCCCCAGCCTCACAGCCCTCATCCATCAGGGTATTTCTGTTCCTCACTGGCACAAATGACAATAAGTGTCATTCAGAGAGAAAGAGAGCGGAGAGAGGGAAAGGAACTACATATGGTGGATGATGCTGGTACGACAGGGAGAAGGAAATCTGTTCAGCTTCTGATATGGTGTCCAGGGTATTCCCATCCTAGAGGTCAACTCTGGCTGCTCCACCTTCAGGCACAGGGCGATCAGGAGATCCCACCCAGCTCGGCTCTGAGCCAGGCTGGACCAGCTGTGTTCCCAACATGCTCTGTTCAGCAGTCTCCCTGTCAATGACAGACCCTTCCCTCTCTGGAATGCAGCCCTTGGCTGCTTCCCGTAAGGAGATTCTCCGCATAAAGCCAGGCCCGTGTTAGGCACCATAAAGCCACCCCCGCACGTGGACCTCATCCTCTTGGGCTTCCTCGCACTTGGCTTGTGCCTCCCCGCTGCGTGGGCCCGTGTGCCTGTCTCATCTCCTTCTGGAAGCTCCTTGAGAGTGTCCTCCTTTCCTGAGGTTCCTCTCCGAGTCTGAAACAGCCCCTTGTGCACGTGGGGCCCTCCGCATCGTCTGCTTCTTCTAGGCACGCACACCGCGGGTGAAGCAGGAAGGAGGCAGAGGTGCGTGGTCCCGCCCAGACGGTTCCGGGCCAGTCTGGACAACGTGGGCTGCTGTCCAAAGCCTCGGCTGGGACGTGAGCTGGGAAAGGACCTCAATCCCCTGCCGTCACTTCCTGGCGGGATGACCAGGGCAGGTCCTCCTCCCTTTTCAGGTCCACCCTACAAGTTGGAGGATGTGATCCCACCCAGCCTACCGACCCAGGGGACCACGAGGACTTGGCCTCTGAGTGTCGAGGTGCTGAGAAGCTCAACAGCACCAACTGAGGTGCCCCCACTGTGTCCTGCTACCAAACCTATGCCGCCCTCTGGGCCAGGAGCAGAACCCCAGGCTGGGAGCCCCTGCCTACCAAAGGCAGTGGGGAGCCTTCCAGCCAGCCCGTCGGCCCTCCCTGGTGTGTGCCCACGTGGACAGGCGCTTCCTGCCTGCTCACACCCTCGACAGCTCTGCCTCCCGTGTGTTTTGAGAAGCACAATCAGAAAGGCCCCCAGGGACCAGGACCCTGCCCTGGGGACAGCCCTCGAGGCAGTGTCTCCCAGCCGTCAGGGGCAATTACAGGGTTCTGGCAGGGAACACTGCCCACCCTGGAATGTCCTGTCACCCTGCCATGGCCAGGTGCCCTGTCTTGGCCCAGCCTGTTCTAGAGAGGCCAAGGCCATAGCCTGTGGGTACCAGCAGGACCTCAGTCACAGTGGTGGTCAGGGATGGGGGAGCTGATGGTCTGAGCTGCCTCTAACCTCAAGAAGGTGGACTTCCAGGGAACCTTCACCCAGGCCCCGTCCTGCTGCCCCTGAATGCTGGACTAGTGCTGACACCCCAAACTAGCCTCTGGCTCTGCTGTGGAGCAAGGAGAGGGTCTGGCTGCCCCCACCCTGGCATCCCAGTGACCCGCCGTCCGGAGGCAGCCTGGGAACCAGGCTGGCCTCGAGGCTGTGTGGCCAGGGCTGGGGCATGGACTAGACCTCTTGTCCTCTGGTCCTGCTCACTGCCCCCTAGTCCTTGCATCTAGAATCCTTGGTTTCCTCATCTACACAGTGGAAATGAAGACACCTCCCAGCCTGGGCACCTGGGATGCACCATCTGGAGGACACAGGGCCCGGGGCAGGGCTGCCACATGGGGCAACAGGCCACGCAGCTGGGGGGCCTTGGGGTGGGCGCCGCTAGGAGCATGCTGCTCATGCCACAAACACTTTGTCTGGGCTGGACACACGGCCAGCCCCAGTGCTCCTGGGAGGGCCGAGCAGGCCTGCAGACGCCCTCCGCTCCTACCTGGGATCTTCAGCGGGTTGTGGTAGTGGACCTCGAGGCGGAGGTACCTGGAGGACCCGGGGCCCCCAAACGCAAGGCCAGCTTCCTCGGGGTAGTAGAACGCCTGCAGGGAGGGGGACAGTCAGACGGAGGAGGAGGACCCACAGCGGGGCAGCCCTGCCGAGGTGCTGGGGTCTGAGCTGGGGCATGGTGTGGCCGGACCCTCACCTGCTGCCATCGACATCCCACGGGGACCTGCCAGGCTCTGGACTGACAAAGGCAGACCCCACTTGCCTCCAGCCACCCTGGGGCCACGCTGTGCCCACACCCTGAACTCCAGGGGAAGCAACTCAGCTCCCAGGTTCACGGAGCAGGGAAAAGTGCCGGGGGCCGGAGGAAGCCCCAGCCCCTGAGGAACGAGGGCTCAGGCCTCCTATGGGCACCGGGGGCTGCTTGGGGCTCAGCCCCCCCGGGGCCTCAGGAGCACCCGACAGCCCCCTTCTTGGGGTCTTTGGGGCAGCAGCACTGGGAAGCCCAGGTGCGGGGAGCAGGACCCAGCATGGGGAGGACGGGCTGCTGGGCGTGGGCCCCTCACCTTCGCGCCCAGGGCCCAGGCGGCCAGCACATGGCGGCAGTAGCTGAGGCGCTGGGGCTTCATCTTGGAGTCGCAGGGCCCGCTGAAGTGGGGGAAGCTCTCGAAGGTGGCCGCGCACTGGAAGACCTCCATGTGGTGCACCAGGGCCTCGTTGCCCTCGGTGACAATGGGCTCGTACTGCAGACGGACAGGCCACCCTGAGCCCCCGGAGCCCAACACCTCCCACCCGCTCTCCCGCCCACTGGCCTCTGCAGGCCTCCACCTGCCCATCTGTGGAAGGGGAGGGAGGGGACAGCTCCCAGAGCCTCGTCCAGAGCCTGAGAAGGGAGCTGGAGGGAAGAGAGCTGGACCACAGGGACCGCTTCCTGACGGGGGACAGGAAAGCTTTGTCCTCGTGTATGGGACAACGTCTGAGCGAGGATGCTGGCCATGCCGCTCCATGGGGAGTCAGGGTCCCCAGAGTAGGGCCTGCCCCCAGGCCCAGCTACACAGCCCGGCCACTCATGCATGCAACTCTGGATGCCCCTCTCCACGCTGCATTTCTTCCCCAGGGGCCATACACGATGTTTGTCACCCCTGTGAGGAAGTCCCGGCCACCCCAACCAGGCCAACGGCCCACTGTGGATTGCTATGGTCATCACCGTGCTGAGTCCTTTGTAGAGCAACTGGACTCTGAGCAAAGCGGCCCTGCCGTGGGTGAGGAGGTGGCCTGGCACAGACAGAGCCGGATGGCAGCTCCCGACCCAGGGCAGATGCAGGAACCGAGACCCTGGTTTATTTGTTCCCGCAGGGAGCCTGGGCACTCAGAAGCCTGGGGAGGGGTGGGTGACGGTGACAGGGGACCAGAGAGGATGACCTCTGCTACAGGAGGTGAAGCCCAGGCCCCAGGACCAGGCACTGGGAGGTCTGGCTTAGCAGGACGCGGCCCTCCAGGCTAGGGACTGCTGGGGCCTGGCCCCGGGGCAGAGCGGGCAGGACCCCACCTACCATGACAATGTGGTGCCGAGGGAAGCCCTGTGGCAGCTCGGTGATGTAGCACCAGTACGTGGTCTCCTCGCTGGGGATCAGGACGTCGGGGGCACGGATCTCCATCGTGCGTGTGTCCGCGGGCACCGCTGGGGTGGGGACCTCAGGCTTCAGGAGCTGCACCCGCTGCAGCCCTGTGTGCAGGCTTGAGATGTTGATGGCCTCCAGGGACTGGAACGGCTCCTCCAGGATCCCATATACCAAGTGGACAGTGCCATCCTGCAGCCCAGACAGGGCCCAGTCAATCGCCCACTCAGCCCCCAGAGTGGGCCCTTGGTCACCACAGGGGAGGCATGTCCCTGCCCAGCCACACTCTGGGCTTCACTGTGGGCTCTGCAGACGATAGGACCTTTGGGGCCCTGCCTGGCTCTAGCTGACCACCCCAGAACCTCCTGTCAGCACCATGCATCAAATGCAGTGTGATTTCTACCCACGTGCTATCCACCTTCAGAGGTGAGGACAACTACTCACTTGTCCCTGTGAGGAATTAATGTGTGCAAAGGGACAAATAGAGAAGCAAAGAAGACAACAGGCAGAGGTTTGCCAGGTGATGTGGGTGTCTGCCCAGAAAAGCCGCAGGGATCAGCAGAGGGGGCCCTCAGGGAGGAGGTGGGCTGCAGCCAGCAAAGCTGGGAGAAGAGCCCCAGGCCACGTGTGGAGGTGGAGCTGACGGACCTTTTGGCCCAGCTGGTTTGGGTCTTGCTTTTGTGCTGTCCCTCTTTCCATGCCCCTGTTTCTGCCTTGTGGAATGGGAATGTTCACTGGTGCCTTTAAGTACTGGCTCCATGGAACTGCCTTGGGTTTTTACAGGGGCTCATGCTGACAGTCTGCCTTGGGTCTTGGGGACACTTTGGACGTGGACTTTGGGGTGATGCTGAAACTCTGAAGACTGGGTGACTCTTGAAAGTAGACTAAATGCATTTTGCATTGTGAGACAAGCGTGAGCTTTTGGGGGCCAAGGGTGGACTATTATGGTTTAGATATAAGGTGTCCTCGAAAAGCTCAAGTGGGAGACAATTCAGGAAGCTCAGCAGTGGGATGGTCAGGCAGTGGGGCCTCGACCCAGCCAGCGCATTAGTCCCCTGGTGGGGATAACCAGGGTGACTGTGGGACACAGAGCGTGGCTGGAGGAGGTGGTCACTGGGGCTGTGCCTTTGGGGTTTATGTTTTGTCCTTTTTGAGAGGGTCTCTCTCTCTCCCTCTGTCTCTCGGCTTCTTGGTGGCCATGTCCTTACCTGCTTTCCCCTGCCACCTCCTTCTGCCATGATGTCCTGCCTCACCTTGAGCCCCAAGGAATGGAGATGGCTTCCTATGGACTGAGACCTCTAAAACCAAGAGCCCCAGATAATCTTCTCTCCTCTAGTGTCTCTCATCAGGTCTCCGGGCAAAACCGGGAAAAACCAAACAAAACAAACCGGGCCGCCGCCAAGGCCAACCGGCCCTTGCCCAGCCCACTCCTCGCCCCTGCTTCTGCCTTTACCAGGCCTGATGCTCCCCACAGGCCAGCACGCCGTCCTGGCCCCTCCCCCAGGAACTGCAGGAACGTCTCCCTCGCTAGGGCACTAGCCGCCCCTCTGTAAATCAAGACCTGGGCACAAACTGCCAGCCGTCTTCCCCGCCATGCTGAAGGATTCACAGGATGGTGGACGTCGGAGGGGACCAGCAAGTCAAAGGGTCTTGTCTTCAGGGCAAGGGGGACTGCCTTTATCTGACGGGGGCTCTTGGAGCAACGTAAGGAACACACAGTGTTTGAGATCTGTGTCCTGGCCCTGGACTCTTGGCCAGGTCTGATGTGATCACGCCGTCCCCATCCCTTTCACACATGGGCAAATGGAGGTCTGGTGGAGAAAGGGGCCTGCCTGAGTCCTCAGCACGCTGTCAACAGGGCGGGTTGGAAAGCCAGGTTTCCTGGGCCTTTCCCAGAATCCCACCTGACATCAATGGGCCAGGGAGAAATCCCTGGTGCATGATCTAGTCCCTACGAGAGTTCTGTGGGAAGACCCGCGTCCAGAAAGCATGTTCCTACATGTCCCCAAAGAGCTACTTCTTTGAGGGTTCTGGAGCTGCCAGCAGAGCAGGACCCTCCCACACGGCCTTGACCTACCCGGGGACTGGGGCTACCCGGCTGGCTTTCTGCACAGCATGACAGCCCAGGCCCCAGACTTCGCAAGAGGAGAGCTGGCAGCCCCATCCTGGGATGCAGATGTGGTCCTGCAGCCCACACCCTCTTGGGCTAGGCCTCCCTACCTCAATGAGGTAGTCCTTAGGGTCACAGGTGGCAAAGGGTCTCTTGAAGAGCAGGACCAGGCCATCCGGGGTGCCCTGTGCCTGCAGCAGCTGGTAGTCCTGCTGGTTGTCCAGATGGATCCGCCCCTTCTGGTCACTCCAAGCATCCTGCAGAAACAGGCTCAGGCTGAGCGGGAAGGAGCCCATCGGCTGGGCAGAGAGCAGCCCGCTACCCTCCCTGGCAGATCCAAGGGACACAGCAGTAGGGCTGGGAAGCCTCTGGGCCCCGCTCCCCACTCACTCCCTGTGGGGGCCTCATCCACTTTCTTTCTCCTTTTTTAAAAATGATTCTTTGGGTCACATCCAGGGCCTCATGCCTGCTGGGCAAGTGCTCTAGCACTCAGTCACACCCCTGGTCCCCACGACCACTTTCTAAGTCTACTTCTGCCTGGGGACATTAGGGCTGAGCCCCACTCCACCCTCTTCCTCTTTCCTCTGTGGCCCTGAATCTGGGCTATCAAATGCCACCCTGGGAATCAGGTTCCTGGGCCCTGGGGTGAGACCCAGGAATCTGCCTTGTTAAGAAAGTGCCTGAGGCTTCCCCAGGGCACAGGCCACCTCCCACTGCTCTAGAAGGGGCGGGTCATGGGGCCCAGGAGGAGAGAGACAGATGGGGAGGAAGAGGGGGACCAGGTGCAGCATTTAAGGTGGCACTCAT